AGAACTAAACCCATCTTTCTTACCATCTTACGGTCTGGCAAAACACAGTCAGGTCTCCTTGACAATCTCTTGATTGCAGAGAATATGTAATCCCACCTCCCTGCATTCATACCACAGCAGTGATCTTTTATCTCATAAAGCATTTCTTCCATGTTCACTGCAGCCAGCAAGGTCTCCACCATCACAGTTGCACGGATTGTTCCTAACATGCAACAAACAGGACAGGATCAATTAAACGAGAATTTTTGAACTCTGCTACCCTATGTTAAAGAGAAACTGTCTTAACTAAACAACCTGAAGAGTCCTTGGTGATTCTATCTCAAACTTATCTGATTCCTTCTTTAAATTAAGCATGCCATTAAAAGCTGAATTTCACAAAAGAATCAAATGATAGTCATTTTAGTTATACCGCGATTAGATGCACTGATAACTGACTTTCACCCTATAGTAACAACGTTTGGGTCCTTATTAACAACAGGGACTTACCTTGAGGCACTTTCATGTAATCTTGTGCAGCTCTGAAAACATCATTCCACAGTCTGGTTTCCAAGTGGGTCTCCATTTTGGGAAGGTAGTAGTATGGAGCAGAGCCATTTGCAACCCTTAGATGGACATTATGAAAAAAGTAAAGCCCAAAGTCTACCAGTGCTCCTGACATAGGTTCTCCATCGCAGAGGATGTGCTTCTCATCAAGATGCCAACCACGTGTACGTACCAACAGACAGGCTGTCTTGTCCTTTAAACGGCGCTCTGATCCTACATTACAAATGAAATATATAATATTAAGCAAACAATCAATTGCTAGGAATGCCTTAAAGATGTTTAACATCTCCAAGGTTTTTAATATCATTCATCAAAGCTCACTTTTAATGATATTTTTAAAACTGAATATTGATAATTATCATAGAGAATTTTGTAAGGATCAGACAGACTTTAAAGGTTAGGAAAATAGTTAGTAACTTAACACATCTTCACCTGTCAGGTTTTAATTGTGACAATAGTCCAATCTGACTTAAAAACATATTAGGGCAGGGACCAACAAAAGGTATCCATCTCACAGAGTTGACTTTTGAAAGAAAATCAACTGGTAGAAAAATGTTCTTTCATCGTGACCTTGTCCTCTAACAAGCGAACATAGAGGAATTTGTCAGAAGCTGCGTCATGGGGCTTTTGACAGGCACAGCTAGAATACTCTGCTTTATGCAAATATATTGACTTACCATTTGGATTAGTGAAACTTATTGTCTTCCTGTTGGCATCCAAGAGGTTCATTTGCCCCTCGATAATATTCTTCCAAGATGGAGTAAGTGAATCCTCAAAATCAGCCATATACATGTCAGCACCACTGTTTAAAGCATTAATGACCATTTTACGGTCAGTTGGCCCAGTGATCTCTACATGTCGTATCTGCAAATCATGAGGAACAGCTGCTACTTTCCAATTTTTCTCGTGGTGCGCTTCAGGATATTTGATTGGATTACCAGCATTGATTCCTTCTTGAATTTCCATGCGCTTCTTGAGCAACTTTTTTCGTTGGTAGTTGAAACTCCGATGGAGATCAGCCAAAAACTCAAGGGCTTCATAGGACAAAATCTGAGTGTAATCTTGTTTGACTTCACCAGTGATTTCAATTCNCCATTTGGATTAGTGAAACTTATTGTCTTCCTGTTGGCATCCAAGAGGTTCATTTGCCCCTCGATAATATTCTTCCAAGATGGAGTAAGTGAATCCTCAAAATCAGCCATATACATGTCAGCACCACTGTTTAAAGCATTAATGACCATTTTACGGTCAGTTGGCCCAGTGATCTCTACATGTCGTATCTGCAAATCATGAGGAACAGCTGCTACTTTCCAATTTTTCTCGTGGTGCGCTTCAGGATATTTGATTGGATTACCAGCATTGATTCCTTCTTGAATTTCCATGCGCTTCTTGAGCAACTTTTTTCGTTGGTAGTTGAAACTCCGATGGAGATCAGCCAAAAACTCAAGGGCTTCATAGGACAAAATCTGAGTGTAATCTTGTTTGACTTCACCAGTGATTTCAATTCCTGTGAAAGATAGAATGAAAGTGTAAAATAAGTCATTATTTTCCAACTTATGGCTGGAATTTCAAACAACAGTTCTTCTAAGGTGACCGATAATCCAACCAGTGACTTAAAGCCAATTTTTAACTTTAATAATAGGCACAAGTAAGGAACTCTTGGTATTAGTACCTGTAATATTGAGTACTTGGGAAACTGTAAGAGTTTATGATGCTGCCTTTCCACCCATTTTAAGGAGGGAAAGGAAGGATCTATCTAGGAATTATCGTTTGTGGGAAGAGGTCCTAAGTGACCGAAGGCCACAAGCTTCCTAGGGCGGTCTGGGGGCATGCACCCCCCCCCCCCGCCCCCACCAGAAATTTCATGAAATGAACATGCGCTGAGATGCAATCTGGTGCATTTTGAGACACAATTTTGAGAAATGTTACAGTGTGTGCACTGTCCTGCATCTGGATGATTTTTACCATACACTTACTTATATCGGTCAATACCGCTTAGTGTTTCAGAAATGCTTTACTTATATACTGTAATGATAACATTATTTTTTGGAGGGAAGCTGGGCATTTTGGGGGGATAACTTCTACCCCTCAAATACCCTAGATAGAACCTTGGAAAGGACACACTTACTAGGCTCAAGTTACTTGAAAGCAAATTAGATATCATTTGGTAATAATAATTGAGAATTAAAACAACAGTATTATTTGTCTGAAACCTGTTCATGCCAATATCATCAGGAATCCATCTGTACAAAACATTAGGGACCCACCTTTTGGGCACCTCATTCTTGATTGGCTTGTTTCTGCTCTTTCAGGCTGTGGTAACAAGAAATCAAAGATTGCTCACTTAAGTATTCATTTGTGAGATTAAAATAACAAAATATATTTATTATTATTCACATTATTATTATCATTATTATTCTAGGTAAGGGCAAATTTGATATAAAAGATCAAAGCATTTTCCCTTTGGTGATCTCTTCATTACCTCTCACAACCATTTCTCTTGATGATGTAAGGATATTGAGAAGAGAATTTAGAACTTACGCACTTTAAGGACATGAAAATAATTGGCTGAATATTCTTAAGTTTAGCCTTGAAGAAATATAGTTAATATGGCATCAGTTATAAAGCAAGTATATATTTAAAGCTTATTGTAAAATAACTAAGATAGTATGCACATTCTGATTGGTTAAAAACCTATGGTTTATTTGAGATGGTAAACTCCTAGAAAACTTTAATTTATTTTATAAAAGCAATAGACCACAATTTCTATGGGTTTACCGGCATGATAACCCACTTGCGATGCTGGGAGAACACTCGAAAAGCTTGTAAATCACTCGCCTTCAGCTCGTTATTTACAAGCTTTTCTCTTGTTCTCCCAACATCATGCCGGTTCACCCATAGAAAGTGTGGTCTATTGCTTAATTAGCTAAATGACATCAATCTGTTTGTTTTGAGAAGGGGGCTGGGCAATCAATACCACTCGAGATTAATCTAAAGATTAGATGATGTGGCAAAAAAATAATGAAAAACGGGAAAACTTGAAATAATCATGACTAAGATGTTTTGCCCACCCAGGCCTCGGCAGACAGGAGGGTTGTGCAAACCCGCCAAGACAAAATTTTTTTCGTGACTCTGTACGTGCATTTTTGCTCGTAAATGTAGATTCATTACATTGGGTACTTTAGAAAGGTTTCACACGAGCCGTTATCGTTGAAGAAAACAGTAATGTAGTAAATAACTCATAAAAGAGCTAAAAGAATCCACTGCATAGGACAACACTGTTATTTTTTCGACTAAATCTTGAATCAAAGCTCTCAAAATGCTGCAAAATGAGATTTCATGACACGTGACAGTTTGACACGTTGAACAACAAAGTTAAGGTAAAATAAAAGACAAAAAAAGAGAAATTAAATTTTGAACACATTATTTTCTATTCAGATATACTTACAGACTGATTCCACGCTCTACGAAGGAGAAAACTAGCGTTTAAACCCAGACTTAGAACAACTTTTGGTTCTTTCTGCAAGAGTGACCAGCTTCGCCTCGTTCTTGTGCATTGGTGCAAAGTCCACCGGAAACCGCAGTGGGCGTGATGAAGGGCATGACGAAGGTATGTCAATACCTGACTAGGGGAGGGTTAGGGGTGTTGTCGAGGAGTGTACTTCAGAAATCAAGAAAGTGTACCTCAATTTCTTCTTCAAAAGTTTCAGTGTGTAGACACTTGTTTTAATCCAAAAGCCAACAAGTTATACTAATAAAAAAAAAAAGAATGAATTTAACACCACCGGTTGTCAATGGAAACCAAATAATCGTCACCTCTTCACGCTACTGCTTCAGATCTCTCCCACTATGATCTTTATTCCTTTATTCACCAAATGGTCAATTGCTCAATAAAATTCTATTTCTTTAGAACTGATAAAAAACACCTTCGAATATGAAGTAACATAACTGTGCATGATTCTACAGAAGCCATAATTTTCATAATTTTCGTGATTTTTCATTTCGCAAGATTTGGCAGAGTTTTAACCGTGTACCTGAGGGGTTTCCAAATGAGACTGTGTCCTTTAGCCAATGAAAATGCTCGATATAACAACGACAAACCTCTTTCCACCAATAAAAACGTCGCCTTTATAGGCGTTCAAAGTCCACAGGCATAAATTTACAAAATTCTCTAAAAGTTCCTTAAATTTCTAGTCGTAGTATTTTTACTGCGAAGCTGTTTGGTAGGACGGTTGTGCCAAAGCTGTAAGAGCCAAGTTTCCAAAACTTCTCGGCCTCCTATTCGATTCATAACCAAAATGTTTTCCAAACAACAGCGATACGAAGGAATCAAGAGGAATTATAGCCAAGCAGATGTAGAGAGGTTGAGAGGCTCGCTAAAAATCGAGCACACGCTAGCGAGGCGAGGCTCGATAAAACTTTGGAACTACTTGACTCGTGGAGGAAACTCTTACATCAACGCTTTGGGAGCGCTTACCGGTAAGACTGATTGCGATAAACGAATTCTGATGCAGTATCAGTAGTAAATCTTATTTTGACACAGGGTCCGAGTTTTCCACGTGAAAGACACTCTTTTCCCTAATATGGTGAAAGCTACTACAAGGCGCGCGATTCGGTTGGGTTTTCCCGCGAATCTCCATAGCGTGCTCGAAATTGACAATTTAAATGCCTTTGTTAATTTCTGATATATTTTTCGAATTCAGCGGATAAAATTTGAGAAGAAATGTATTTTAAGTCTTTAAAGGCCACGTCAACCAAGCAAAAATCGAATGACGTGGAAAACTTCACGGTCATGGATTGAACTTTGGACCCAGAAAGCGAAAAGCCAATTGTGACACCAAAAATTTCAATTTTTCCACTTGATTTCTTTAACGCAATATATATCTCTTATGTAAAAACTGAAACCTCCATCCAAAGGTCACCTTTGCTCAAAATTTTTAATTTAATTTTGTTATGACACAGCAAAAACGCGCCATATGACATAAGTGTGACTTGGCTTGTTTCTTGCTTGTACTTAATTTTCACTAAATATATTTTTTTCTGAAATGTGGTAGTCTAGATAGATTTTTTTTGGGTAATGTATAATCTTCGGACTTGTTTGAAACAGGAGATAGAAAAATTAATAAATAAAAGCAAAAAAAAGTAAATGGGAAGATGATCCATTTGTTTTATTGACATTTTTTCCCTGCTTAATTTATGATTAAACAAAACTGTGATTTCAGGCGGCCAGGCAGTGCAGATGGCTAAAGCAGGTTTAAAAGCTATCTACCTTAGTGGCTGGCAAGTTGCTGGTGATAACAATTTAGCTGCACAGACCTATCCAGACCAGAGCTTGTACCCTGCTAATTCAGCACCAAAACTGGTGGAACGCATCAACAATGCATTCATTAGGGCTGACCAGATTTCGCATATGGAAGGATCAGAGAGGCACATTGACTACTTTCTCCCTATTGTTGCTGATTGCGAAGCTGGATTTGGGGGACCACTGAATGCATTTGAATTAACAAAGTCTATGGTAATGAGGATTTCTTCACCACTTAAATACACTCTTTTTTTTTATAAGAATGTTGTTTTTCCGTCCCAGGCTGAATATTCTTATTTTTCAGCCGATTTTAGGCTGAAAATATTCTTGTATTATTCTTAAACCATAGCTTATGACATTTCCATTTTAGAATTTATTGGGGTATCAATTACAAGTGTTTGTTATCTAGATCTGTATCGCACAGAAATAGCGTGATGGAAACGAAAGTACCCGATTTTGTTTCAACTATGTCAAGGACAATTGTTGGCTAGTTTTGCCGTTCAGAGAAAGGAATAATTTTATACGGTTAAGTTAAAAACATAAAATTGTATTGTATTTACAGATGTTTCAACACACAAAATTATATCTATCCTTTTCAAAATCTCAGCCTCGGCTTTATTCTTAAAATATTCGTAAAATTTCGCAAATTTCAGCCTCGATATTCTTATAAAATATATTCTTATAAAAAAAAAAGAGTGTATTCATGTCACACTGAAAATATGTACCAAACGATCTTGACAATAATAAATTATGATTGTTTGTGACAAAATACATGAGGCCCTGGCTTTGTTCAAACGTTGGATAGTGCTACCCACTAGATAAGTAACCATCCAGCAGATAAGTATTGGGAAAACCAATACATTATCCACTAAATTGAGATTTATACAGTTAATAATGTTAGTCCACATCTTGAACAACTGGGCTGGCGTGATGAGGTCCTCATGGTGAACCATAAGAGTCAGCATTATTAATGTACCTGGGCAGTGAAAACGTTCATCGTTTAGTGTGAAATGAAGATCTTTTTTGGGTTATCTAGTCATTAGGGTAGATCCTGAATAATGTGCACTTACTATTATTAAATAATGGATTGCAGCTTGGATGTAAACAAAGACTTGCAAAGATAATAAAAAGCTACAGAGTATGATAAAAAATAATATCAACTGCAACTTTAGAAACTTTGAAAGGAAAATGATCTCTCACAATATTATGCATCACAGATTCATCAATAACACAGAGAATGCAACTTTAGTGTTGTGTTGCTTTTCAAATAGTAGACTTACTATTTTATTTTTTCACTGAGAAATCAATAGCATAAGTAAAAGTTTCAATTTATACTGTAGCAAAAAAAGGTGAAACGTTTTCAAGTGAAGGTTACTGCTTTAGAGTGGTTATCATTATTTAATTGATAATAATATAAAATATCATTTAAGGTTTGATTTTGCTTGTTAAGGGGTTCACAAAAATGTCTCATGAAGTTTATCTTGTCAACAGATTGCGGCAGGAGCTTCAGCAGTGCACTTTGAAGACCAACTGGCATCAGAAAAGAAGTGTGGTCACATGGGTGGAAAGGTTCTCGTTCCTACTCAACAGTTCATTAAGGTCTTAAATGCTGCAAGACTTGCTGGCGATGTTTTGGACATTCCAATTGTTATTGTAGGACGCACAGATGCCAACTCTGCTGCACTTGTGACATCAGATGTAGACCCTTATGACAGACCATTCCTGACAGGGGAGAGAACTCCTGAAGGGTTCTTCCGTGCCAAGGCAGGGCTAGACCAAGCCATAGCTCGTGGTCTTGCCTATGCACCGTACTGTGATTTGCTGTGGTGTGAAACAAGCAAGCCAAACTTAGAAGAAGCTCGAAGATTTGCGGAGGCCATTCATGCTCGCTACCCTGGTAAATTATTGGCTTACAACTGTTCTCCCTCATTCAACTGGAAAGCTAATCTAAGCGATGCTGAGGTTGCTCTGTTTCAAAGAGAACTAGGCAAAATGGGTTATAAATTCCAGTTTGTCACTCTAGCCGGCTTTCACTCACTAAACCATGCCATGTTCAAGCTTGCACGAGATTACAGGGACAATGGCATGTCTGCCTACACGAAGATCCAAGAAGATGAGTTTGCGCAAGCCAAAAATGGTTTCACTGCTCACAAACATCAGAGAGAGGTGGGCACAGGCTATTTTGACCGACTACTACAAGGCGCGCGATTCGGTTGGGTTTTCCCGCGAATCTCCATAGCGTGCTCGAAATTGACAATTTAAATGCCTTTGTTAATTTCTGATATATTTTTCGAATTCAGCGGATAAAATTTGAGAAGAAATGTATTTTAAGTCTTTAAAGGCCACGTCAACCAAGCAAAAATCGAATGACGTGGAAAACTTCACGGTCATGGATTGAACTTTGGACCCAGAAAGCGAAAAGCCAATTGTGACACCAAAAATTTCAATTTTTCCACTTGATTTCTTTAACGCAATATATATCTCTTATGTAAAAACTGAAACCTCCATCCAAAGGTCACCTTTGCTCAAAATTTTTAATTTAATTTTGTTATGACACAGCAAAAACGCGCCATATGACATAAGTGTGACTTGGCTTGTTTCTTGCTTGTACTTAATTTTCACTAAATATATTTTTTTCTGAAATGTGGTAGTCTAGATAGATTTTTTTTGGGTAATGTATAATCTTCGGACTTGTTTGAAACAGGAGATAGAAAAATTAATAAATAAAAGCAAAAAAAAGTAAATGGGAAGATGATCCATTTGTTTTATTGACATTTTTTCCCTGCTTAATTTATGATTAAACAAAACTGTGATTTCAGGCGGCCAGGCAGTGCAGATGGCTAAAGCAGGTTTAAAAGCTATCTACCTTAGTGGCTGGCAAGTTGCTGGTGATAACAATTTAGCTGCACAGACCTATCCAGACCAGAGCTTGTACCCTGCTAATTCAGCACCAAAACTGGTGGAACGCATCAACAATGCATTCATTAGGGCTGACCAGATTTCGCATATGGAAGGATCAGAGAGGCACATTGACTACTTTCTCCCTATTGTTGCTGATTGCGAAGCTGGATTTGGGGGACCACTGAATGCATTTGAATTAACAAAGTCTATGGTAATGAGGATTTCTTCACCACTTAAATACACTCTTTTTTTTTATAAGAATGTTGTTTTTCCGTCCCAGGCTGAATATTCTTATTTTTCAGCCGATTTTAGGCTGAAAATATTCTTGTATTATTCTTAAACCATAGCTTATGACATTTCCATTTTAGAATTTATTGGGGTATCAATTACAAGTGTTTGTTATCTAGATCTGTATCGCACAGAAATAGCGTGATGGAAACGAAAGTACCCGATTTTGTTTCAACTATGTCAAGGACAATTGTTGGCTAGTTTTGCCGTTCAGAGAAAGGAATAATTTTATACGGTTAAGTTAAAAACATAAAATTGTATTGTATTTACAGATGTTTCAACACACAAAATTATATCTATCCTTTTCAAAATCTCAGCCTCGGCTTTATTCTTAAAATATTCGTAAAATTTCGCAAATTTCAGCCTCGATATTCTTATAAAATATATTCTTATAAAAAAAAAAGAGTGTATTCATGTCACACTGAAAATATGTACCAAACGATCTTGACAATAATAAATTATGATTGTTTGTGACAAAATACATGAGGCCCTGGCTTTGTTCAAACGTTGGATAGTGCTACCCACTAGATAAGTAACCATCCAGCAGATAAGTATTGGGAAAACCAATACATTATCCACTAAATTGAGATTTATACAGTTAATAATGTTAGTCCACATCTTGAACAACTGGGCTGGCGTGATGAGGTCCTCATGGTGAACCATAAGAGTCAGCATTATTAATGTACCTGGGCAGTGAAAACGTTCATCGTTTAGTGTGAAATGAAGATCTTTTTTGGGTTATCTAGTCATTAGGGTAGATCCTGAATAATGTGCACTTACTATTATTAAATAATGGATTGCAGCTTGGATGTAAACAAAGACTTGCAAAGATAATAAAAAGCTACAGAGTATGATAAAAAATAATATCAACTGCAACTTTAGAAACTTTGAAAGGAAAATGATCTCTCACAATATTATGCATCACAGATTCATCAATAACACAGAGAATGCAACTTTAGTGTTGTGTTGCTTTTCAAATAGTAGACTTACTATTTTATTTTTTCACTGAGAAATCAATAGCATAAGTAAAAGTTTCAATTTATACTGTAGCAAAAAAAGGTGAAACGTTTTCAAGTGAAGGTTACTGCTTTAGAGTGGTTATCATTATTTAATTGATAATAATATAAAATATCATTTAAGGTTTGATTTTGCTTGTTAAGGGGTTCACAAAAATGTCTCATGAAGTTTATCTTGTCAACAGATTGCGGCAGGAGCTTCAGCAGTGCACTTTGAAGACCAACTGGCATCAGAAAAGAAGTGTGGTCACATGGGTGGAAAGGTTCTCGTTCCTACTCAACAGTTCATTAAGGTCTTAAATGCTGCAAGACTTGCTGGCGATGTTTTGGACATTCCAATTGTTATTGTAGGACGCACAGATGCCAACTCTGCTGCACTTGTGACATCAGATGTAGACCCTTATGACAGACCATTCCTGACAGGGGAGAGAACTCCTGAAGGGTTCTTCCGTGCCAAGGCAGGGCTAGACCAAGCCATAGCTCGTGGTCTTGCCTATGCACCGTACTGTGATTTGCTGTGGTGTGAAACAAGCAAGCCAAACTTAGAAGAAGCTCGAAGATTTGCGGAGGCCATTCATGCTCGCTACCCTGGTAAATTATTGGCTTACAACTGTTCTCCCTCATTCAACTGGAAAGCTAATCTAAGCGATGCTGAGGTTGCTCTGTTTCAAAGAGAACTAGGCAAAATGGGTTATAAATTCCAGTTTGTCACTCTAGCCGGCTTTCACTCACTAAACCATGCCATGTTCAAGCTTGCACGAGATTACAGGGACAATGGCATGTCTGCCTACACGAAGATCCAAGAAGATGAGTTTGCGCAAGCCAAAAATGGTTTCACTGCTCACAAACATCAGAGAGAGGTGGGCACAGGCTATTTTGACCGGGTTTCCTTGGCAATCAGTGGTGGAACAAGCTCGACTACAGCACTGAAGGGGTCCACAGAAGAAGAGCAGTTTACACAAAAAACATCTTACGCAATTTCCAAACTGTAATATATTTAACTACATGGGGCACACAAGTATCTGTTGTTGCTATCTTCCTTTTGACTTTTTTAGAACATTTTTCTTGTGATGTTCACTTCACAACCTTTGTAATGGAGATAGTCTCCCTGAATATTGCCTTTGTGTCCACAAACTTCCACTTGCTGGATGGTGACGTTTGTTTCTCAATGTCTAGGCAATCAGATTTTACTTACTAAAATGCTGAAATATGTGGAAAGGACGGTTTACTTCCTTAAAAATGTATTTGTGGAGGGGGCTTCAAGTCACTGTGTTCTGAATGAGGCATTCATTTAATTTTGATGTTCCTATTTTTCTCCGTGATAGAAAAGTATCTTTAACACAGACTTTTCTAATATTATTGCAAATAGTTTTTTTCTCTGAAATCAGTGTCAGAGTTTTACTTTTAATTTCTGTAGAAAACCACAGCCACTAAAACAAGTCATTAAAAACAAGGACTAATACAGTTGTTATTTTTATTATTATTTTTGATGATTTGTCTAACGCAGACAAGAGCAAAACAAACGTTTTTTGGTGATTATTAGTTCAGCTAACTCAGCTTTTCTATATTTACCTCAATTTTTTGGATCATTATACATTTCCTGGAAACTGCCCACCTACCCCTCCCCTAAGCCAACATTTTGCCCTAAGTGAGAACTAAGTGTTAATGTCACTTAAGGGAGGGGTAGGTGGACACTTTCCGAGAAACATGTAATGCTCTGTTAAGTTATCGTTAAGCTGAAACCATGACAAAAGAAAATTTATTTTAACCTGCTGTCATAATTTTTGATTGTATCTCTAACATACGGGTAAAAACAAGTTTCTAGCTTTAGTGTTTATAATTTAAAATACCTAAAATCACAACTGTACTGAATTTGTGAATTTATTTAATAGTAAGCTGAGGAAATTTATCATAGCACATGATTTCAAAGATGCATGCGAAAAGAAACTAACTGCTGCAGAGTGGGATGAAAGTGCTACTGGAAAACCCTGGCCTAGTGTGTGTGTTTTTGGATTGCAAGTTGCCTTATAACTAATAAAATAATATAATTTACATTATTAACAACGAAATCATTGGATAATGCAATATTAGAGCTCTGGCTTAGCCATCAAGGTATATTTAACAATATTCCTTGAGCCCGAATGGGCTCTGAGTCAATAGCCCATGAGGCAAAAGGCCAAATGGGCTATTGACTCAGAGGCCACGAGGGCGAGAGGAATAATACTGTTTTAGTAAAATCCAACTAGCTGGTGAAAAATATAGTTATATTTTAATCTCACTCTGCTGCTGGTCAATGCCTTTTTGCATGCAGTTACCCATTAATTTATTAAAATTTATAACAGGATAACATACTTTGTTGACAAAGAAAACAGAAGTGCTTGATATAATAGCAAAAAACAGGACTTCATTAAAGTTGACCTGTCATTAAAATAGGAATATACTTTTTTGTAGAAAATTATATTAGGTTGGCTAGAGTATAAAAGATTATTTTTTGCACTCGCAGTTAAGTAGATAAGGTGATTCTGTAGCCCTATTTTGCTATTTCAGGAATTGTTTAGAAAGCTTAATAAAAACGATCTTTCAAAGTTGTGGTATTTGAATTTGCGTACATGTATTCAGGCTGTCCAGACATGACACCACTGACTAGCTTATGAAAGACAAAAAGCAAAAGAACATTATAACCCTTACTCTAGCAAACTTAATATGTTTTCCATTCTGTTTTCTGTAAATTAATTTCTTATAATGATTTATGCTGGGAATATATGTCTTTGGAAAGAAATTTTTTTCTTGAGGTGTTTTTTTAAGCAGAGGGTGTCAACACGGTAAACCGCAACTAAAATATAGTTTCACATATAAGTAACACAAACGACCAAATTCTAAAAACTTATCAAGACTTATTTGGTAACACAAGAAAATCATTTTTCTCAAAAAGTGCTAAATGTTTGGCTTCTATCATCTGTATATGGTGTGCCAAAAAAAGTAGCATCCATTTAAACAACAGTTATGACAGCAAAAAGATATTGTTTTGCACTGGACAGTTAAAACCGCCTACACTGTTTAAGTACAGTGGAGAAAAGTAAAGGAGGACTTTATTTTTTACATAGATCTTTAAAAGAACACAATCTTATGTTGCTAGTTCTCAGGTACTCTTTGAGTTGAGGACTTGTAAGTGTTGTTAATTCATGTTCCCTTTCCTCTGAGCAGGCAAACAAATCAGGTCCCTCACCACACCCACCACATCCTATAATACTCTTATACCCAGGGTGCACCATGAACTCACATGAAGAACATAGTTTACTTCCTGTGAGATTGTTTTGCATAAAAACATTCTCAAAAGCTTGTTGTAGCCTATGAAACACCATGTATTTTCCCATGGTACTAAGTCCAATAAAATGACCAGTAAACCTGAAACATAAGAAAAAAATAAAGTAGATTCCTGTAAAATTCTTGGTTTCCAAACACATGACAAGGTGGCTATATTGGTGGCATTACAAAACAATTTCTTTTTATCAGAATTTGAATGAAAACAGAGTTTACCTCCCAGCAAAGAGAAACACTTTTGTTCTTGACCACCTACATATATAGCTGCCATGATGATGATAATACAGGAAAATATGCGAAGTGGAGACCCTCATTTAAAAATCTACCATTCTGAGGAAACACTCAAAACTCTAAGACAGCACAAAACCCAGCAAAATAAAAAATTAAGACTTGCTACAACCCTGTGCTGGGATCATTATTTCCTAAGACCCAACATTTTTAACATTACTTTTTTAAATTTTATTCAATTCTGTTTTCCTTTGTCAAGAAAATGGGTTTTTGTAATCAAACTAAGAAAAGGCATTTCAACACTTTTAAACCTTCTAAATATTATTTCACTATTTCAAACAGGAATAAATCAATAATTTGAGACTCTTTCATCTCATTGAGCTTGTTTTCATCACCAGTAGATAATTACCCCCAGGTCATTACCTTATTCCATATCTGGAGAATGTTTCCTTGGCAATAAGTGCATCCTTTTCAACAGATTTAAAGAAACTCTTTTGTTGTTCATTCAACAGATCACATTTGTCTAGGTTACTTTCAACAGGTATTCTTGTCCAATTTATTCCATGATTTTTCATCAATGCAGCTAAAATATCACACACTTGTGGTATGACATGAATGTGTTGATGGCCATCTATATTTGTTGGTAAGGATCCCACCTTGTCAATGAACCACTCAAGTTGAGTCTGTATTTCCTGTTTAACCTGCATGGTCATGACTATTTAGTCAGTAAATTTTAAACAAAATAAACAAAAAAAGGGTGTTAACCAAGGGACATGCTTGGAGGTTAATCATTTCATAAATCTCTCTCAATAATTGTTAACCATGATTCTTTTTTAATTTTAAACAAACATGAGGGAACACCCCACCTCAGTATTTTCTACAGTAAAAATACTTTTCTTTTTCATGTGCTAAGAAGATGGGAACACATGAAAAAATCTCTTTGATTAAGGATATTACTGTTTTAATTAAAAACTGAATTATTGGATAATGCAATTCTAAAGTTCTGATTGGCTTAGCCATCATGGTATATGAGCCATTATACCATGCTCTCCTAATATAGTAACTGTACGTGTTTGCTCAAAATTAAAAACAAGCTGAAAATCATTTGTTTTTACGAATAAAGGCGGTAAAAATTCTCGATATTTTGGGGCCATTTTTAACAAAACAATTATTCCAACCACACTTGTTGGACATGAAATGATTATAGCCACCTTGGCGCTACCTATCTTATTGGCTATCTACCATCTTATATTCAATGTGCACACGTGGAATAAATGCTGATTACACCATAATAAACATTATTACAAAAACTATAAAAATTCCACAATGGCAAATACCCGAACCCTGGGCATGGCTTAGACGACAAATACCCTACTTATGGAACTCCCAGCTTGATAATGTTGGTCTACAAATTCCCAAAGGAGGGGTGGGGGGTAGGCTGGGGGTGGGTGAATGAGCACACTTGGAATGACTACGCCATAATTAATTTTCCTGTTCTCCTCTCAAATATGTATAGTATATAACATTATTCTCGTAATAATTCGAAAAGTGGGTCAATAAATATTGTTGTTGTTGTAACCCCTATCTATTTACTTCAAATTCCATTAGGAAAGGTGTATGCCCATTTTTTGTCCTCTCTTTAATAAAGTAAATTAGGTAAAGTAAATTCGATTCTGATTAATCATATTATTAATCATTATCAAATACCTTTTACCTAAATCTATAGTCTCTGTTAAGTTTAAATATGTAATGGTACATGTTGTATTAAAAGAAATCACCTAGAAAAGATTTTGGGTTTAGAAATAAGAGCAACATAATTATATTAAAATTTACCTCATCCAAGTCTATTTCTCCATTCTTTACAGCTTCCCTGAAGCCAAACTTTCCCCTCAAGAAACCTTCTTCGGAAGTAAGACTTTTGTAATGCGTTTTTATCGGGCGACCCTCTGTAAGATTAAGGTGAATTCCAAGAGGGATCCCACATTTCTTAGACAACTGTATGGCTTCTAAGGCGCTTTCAGCGTTCACGAGCAAAGAAGCACTTGAAACTATCCCGTCTTGAAATGATTTTACTATTCCACGGTTTCTTTGCTCACAATATCCAAAGTCGTCGGCGTTTACTATCAGCAAGCGCAAACTACCATTGTCTTCTGCCATTTTGAATTTTAATTTGCAACGAGGGAAAAAAACTGGTCAGCAAAATTCCACAAAGAAGTTATTCCTTCATAAAACTGACCGTAAAGTGACATGGTAGATTAGTTCCAGGTTCCTGACCGGGAATCAACATGGCCGACTATGACAGCACAGATATCAAAGACGAGAAAGGTATAGAAGTATTGAGTATTTATTTGTATACTGAATCTAAAAAAAAAAATTCGGTTTTTTTCTATACCTTTTTCTTTATTTCTAACCACTTAGGAGTGAAATAAGGAAAATGTAAATTAGACGATTAGCTTACAATATAAGTGCTAAAGAAGGAATGATAGTATTCAGACACTTTTGGAATGGAATCATGACAACCGAGAAAGCAGAACATGTCTTACAGACTGTTGAGTTGTGCAATGGAAGATTTTATATTTTAATCACACCCCAATAATAATAATTGTTGAACTTGGGACATTTGTGGCTGATATCGAGTCAAACATAGTCATCTTGCATAACTATTAAGTAGGATCATGAGCTCGGGGGGGTACTCAACAAAATTGTATAGAGGTAGGTTCTGCCGGAGGTCCAACCCCTTACCTTTTATGTACCAAACGGAACCTCATTCATTTACTTATTAAGACACTGCATATCTTTTAACTGCTGTTAACGCATCATCTTTTAAATATAAATAAATCACTAAATGAAAAAGTTCTTTTTTTCGTGTGCCGGTTAGTCCTTTTAGGTCCTTTCATAGACAGCAATGACAGATTTCCCCTCCTTTTCATTTTCTGCAAATAGTGAAACCCCATACTAGGGAGTGAGCAGGGTGGGGATTACACTGTGAATTAGTTGGGTGGGAGCTGCCCTGGTGGCGCATAAAACCCTCAGTGACAGTTCCAGGGGAGGGGCCCATTTTTCTTGTGCTCAATATAATGTGATACTAAGTGATTCATGTGGTTTTACAGCTCTTAGAGAAAAGAAGACAAAGGCATTGGTGTCACTAAGTGTGGGACTTATTTTTATCTTTATTGGCCTTCCCTTATGGTGGAACACAACCAAAGTTTACAGGGCTCCCCTTCCTTATGATGAAATAGAACAGTTAAACCAGTTTAAGGTATGATTACTTTTAATGTTAAGTAATTTATAGCTTGACATCAATCAATTTTACTACCATCAAATTGCTATAAAATTTATTGCATTTAACAATTACTAAAATTGGATTTCTTTTAGGTTAAGTATACAGTTAACCTTAATGTAGTACTTCTTGGATCTCAAGATCCTTCTATTTTAAAACAAGAGATTGAGCTGGAGCTCAAAAAAGAAACTGGTAAGATTGTCCAAGATTTGGTGGGATGTATGGAATAATAAGGGTCAGTTTAGTTGGTCTTATTGTACAGCTCGCTTGTGCTCTTTCCTTTCTGATTTAGATGATGGAAGTATTATTCAGTTTGATTGGTTCTCAGGATTCTTTGGCACCCCTTGTGGGATAGTGTAGGGGGCTCATGGTTTGGTTCCATGGTGTGGGTGAGAGCAGTGTTCCAGATAAGAGATGGGTCTTGGGTCAATGACCTGACAAAGATGGCTTCCTGATCCGACAGATGACATATAAGTGTTAAGTTAAATATAGCAAAAAAATTAGCACATGGTCTCGGTGACCCCTCAGATGGTCTACATGACCCCCTGCTCAAAAGAATTAACTGGAACACTGTAAGAGACAGAAAAAGAGGTAAATTTAAATCAAAGAATGTCCCCGACTTGTTGAGCAAAATTTCTTTTTAAAAGGTAAAGTGCGATAGAATAGCAATGCTTGACCCCAGACCCTCAGCTGTATGGGTACCTGTGGACACCAATTCATTGCATGTTTTTCATAGCTATACAGAGGCTCACCCCACCTTCCAGGCCTACGATCACAAGATTTCCATGGCTCCACATCATTGTGTTTATTATTCAAAAACAGTATTTTTTTTTGGTTGTTGTTACGTGTCCAATTTCTTTTCTTTTTTACAATATTATTGGTCAGATATATCTGCCATAACACCAGACTAAAGACTAACAGTAGAAGTGAAGAACATAAAAGACGCTGCTGTGATTACAAAACTGACATCCAGCCCTTTGGAAGGTAAACCTGTAAAAGAAAACCTGTCCTAATTGCAATATTTTATTGATAAATAATTCACGTAGGTGAATTCCTCTGAATTATGAATGAGTGAACAACTTAATTGAAACTAAAACTAATTTTTAATCAACAGATCTGGATGATTATTTTCAAATCAGCTTTGTAAACAAGGAAAGCAAAAATTACTCTTTCTTTGTGCTTCCCCATGGAACTCCTGAGCCAAATGGCATTGATGCATATGTTGGAAAATATCTCCACTGTATCTTGTACAACAACAAAGGTAGGAATAATCTGAGTTTGGGTTTTATGCCAGGTTTCATGCACTTGTGCACCTTTCTCTTGCCAACAAGATAGCCTGCTTGCAAGTTAAAAGTTAAGCTGCAGTGATGTTAAAGTGTTTTTTGTTGATGTTCCCTAGATTCCAAGAAGCTTGCTGCAGTGATTGCAAACATTATCAGGAATGTTTTTGTTGATGATGAAGAAGTCAATGGAGCATTTAGTTTAGTTTCAAAAAGGGAATACACCAAGGTGAACAGTGAGAAACACTAAACACTAAGTTATAATTTAGTATTAAAAATGATTGGATTAAGTACATGGCCTAAGCTACTGACACTTTTTTTCTCTCTAGGACACTGTGGAAAGTATGAGAGCTCAGAAGTCAACAACTGGTTAGTTTGTCACCCCAGCAATTCCTTGTGTATAGCATAGTTTAACAACTGTATAGACTTGAGTCTCATTCAAACAACAAGTTGGGGGAGTTTTTACTAACAAATTACACGTGCTTGCATCTTCACTTAATCTCACTGGCAAAATTTAATCTTTACTAGTAAACATATTAAGTTATTAATTAGGAATTACTGTTTTTTCAAGGTTTTCAGGTGTCTTTTACACTGTTGAATTCTGATCCAGATTTAGTTCTGGCGGAGTGGGATATAGAGACTGCTGTTCAAAGTAAGTGACTGTCAGTTTCTGTGATAGAAGCAAAGAAGTGCAAGACAATGTGAGTTTATGAGAGTTGTGTCAAGGTAGCCAAAGTTTTTGGTGTGACAAAGTGAGGTCAGCTGGTAGGAATTTTTGGGTGAGGATGTGCTGCTGGGACTGCTGAGCCCTTAGCCTATACATCACCTAACTTAGTTCAGCTGAATTAAATTTGCCGCCTACTTCTTGCATTTAGCTGGTTCCTTGAAATCTTAGTTACAGCCCTGATTAAACCACAGATAAATAAATCTGAACCACAACAGCTATATATATACCAGTTTTTCCTAGTCTAGACTAATATCTTCAACCAATCAATCAGTTTCCTGGAAAATGAGACCCTATTCTAGACCCAAACTCTCTGATTTCCCCCACCACCTGAATGAGTCCCATTCTCTGAATAAGCAATTTTCCCTGAATGAATTGCTCAATACATGTACATTCAAAATGTTAGTAAGCATTTTTAGGCAAAGTTTGTTATAGAGTGGTTAGATACTCCCACCTTTCAAGTCACTGATGACCTAGACCATAAATGATCGATTAAGCGCCGCTACTGGAATAAGTGCTGCACCTTCACCAAAATAATTTAATAAGCGCCGCTCTCGAATAAGCCCTGCGGGACTGATTTGGATGTTTATATTACAGTTCAAATTTGATTTTGGGCTAAAATTTTTCAACCTTGGTTGACTCTCAATTTCTTTTATCTGCAAGGACTAGGAGACAAAGGAAATTGAGAATCAACCTAGGTTAAATCGAAACAACCAACAACCAACCGAGAAAGGTGGTGATCCCAGGTCTTCCTATGTTGTTAAACCATATCTTCAGGTTTTTTTCCAAGTGCCCCAATCATGGTAGGGATAATAGACACACCTCTGCAGTTCCAGATCTTTTGCGCTAAGTCCGGATAGTGGTCAATCTTATCCCATTTTTTTTTTCTTCTGGGGGTGTATCAAAGAAGAAAGCCACGTCGATATTGGAGTGTACCCTTCCCGCGCCTCCTTAGGAGAAGGTGACGCGTTTACTAATTTCCATTTCAAAGGGACTACATGTTGCTTTAATAAGAGAGCTAATAAAGATTGTGGTAATAGCTGGAGCAATGTGATGTTCATAATCCGGCCAGAGCCAATAGGTGAGACCACCAGGGCTGGGTGAAAAGGTGAAAGTCTCTTTTTGGATCTATCAGTTCTGGTTTGTTAGAATTCCCACTACGCAAGAATTGGAAATGCGTTCTCCAGTAAAATGGCACGAAATTGAATTGGTGGGACTTATCTATCCTCTCGTGAAATTCGCATTAAGTGGTATTACTATTAACAACTATTTCAAAAACGTTTGTCCCCTCTTATGAATCCAGTTCGAAGTCTACACTCTTGATATTTCTTTATTTCTTTCGTCTCTATTGCAATTATAACCATAGCAAACTGTTGTCTGAATTGCTGTTTATTGTCTGAATACAGATTCTGATGTGCATAGTCTAGCAGAACGCAGACATTTAAGTGTTGCCGACTTCTTGGATCTTTTTTAATTAGCATGGGGACGTACTTTGTTCTTGACAAGCTGAGCGTTCAGGCATACAAACATATCAGATAGCATATTCTATTGCATAAATGGATGATCAAGCCCTAAGGCAGAAATGATTGTATTAGTGTAGCAATCTGGTGGCTCCAAAATCCCGAGGGAAGGTACTTTCAACAACCTTTGCGTGTATTCGTACTCCGGAATACCGCACGACGAAATCGAACACACCTTTAGTATTGTTTCTTGCTATTTTAGTTGGAAGATGCAATTTTCAGTTTTGTTGTTCATTCAATTTATGTCCGAAAGGTTCTGAAATCAAGTGCGTTGATTTTTTGCCACCGATTTTTAGTAGAAAGACTACAGTTGTTCTTAGGCCCTTGATTGTTTAATCTAAGTACTCGTAAAATGGTATACTTACAACTATTCTTCCATATGGTCTAGCAGTAGGATCAACTTGTCTTAGAAGAAAATGGATGTACAGCTTTCTCAAACCCTACAAAAGCCGTCTGACAAGACGCGTTTAATGTCATAGGTTTTTCACGTCTCATCGGCGGCCTTGGGTCCTTGGCTGTCAAGTCATACGTTATAACTCTCTGCAAAGATATTTTAACTTTCTTCTTACCGACTGAGCTGGAGACGATGAAGAAGCACGCACAATTTGCAACTGTTAACATACACTTTCATGCTAGAAACTTAAACTGTATAATAAGATTTAATAAGATTGGCCAAAACTGCGCTTATGATATTACAATTTAAAGTTATTGTAGTATGGTCCATATGGTTTAGTAGCAGGTTCTGCCTGGCCTAAGAAAAGTCGAAGAAGACAATTGAGTGGAGAGTCTTCTCAAACTCCTCAGCGAAAACTTCTGAAATCAGACATATTTGATACGATAACGGTTTCGGCTGGAACACCAACTCGTCACAGGTTTCGTCCTGTATCATTCTGGCCATCGGTCCTTCAATCAAGTCATACTGATCTACACTCTCTCTTGTAACCGCGGTTCGCGTAGCTGTTTTAAAGGACGATACTATTTCTCGCCATTTTTCTTCATTTTCGTACAAGTTCAGTTTACGGGTTTTACTAAGATCGGTACGGTCGACTGCAAAGATTAAAATGGCTGGCTTCTCTGTTGTTTGTTTTGCCCAGTTAAAAGCATCTTCCATTTCAGTTGTTAAATAAAATCCCTTTCCACAACTGAAATCTCGCTTTTGTCGTCCAGCATTTAAGTATATTCCCCGAATCAAAATTTGTCGCGCACTTTGGTGGTCTGTGCCATGATAAAGAGCAATGTTTCTGTCGTCCTGTGGCATCAAGGCACTGACTGCTGTACTAGCTAGGCCATACGCATCGGATTCCTTGGTCACAAGGTTCATGATGTTGACGCTGGACAACTGGATGTTACTTTGCATCTCTTCTTTAGGTATGTTCGTCAGCGGAACCCACTTATTGGTGATACTGCTTTGAAAAGGAAATTTGGACATTCTCGTAGACAGCAGAGGATTATACTTAAATTCGTCTTTTATAAACATCTGTGCCCATTCACAAGCTTCAACGTGGTTTTCCCTGCTACCTGCCTGTGAGCGAGCCATTATGATTTCAACTGCTGAGCTGAAAGGGTCGAAACCGATACGCTCAAGCAAATCTTTAGTGAGCGAGTGTCTGACAGTTGAGTCAAGTTTTTCACTGTTCTCTTCCAGAAAGATCTTTATCCATTCTCTATCGTCTCGATGATCACGTTGTTCTGGTGGCATTTCTTCTAGGGGCTCGAGAAAATCGAGCTTGAGTCCAAGTAAAGAACTCAAGCGAGCTGTCTGACTTTGAAAGCGATCCCAATCCTTTTTCGTCATTCTGAATTTTGCCTTTTCTTTTTCTTCCCAAACTGTCCTTAAAGCCTCCTCAAGACGTTTCTTTTGTTGGAGACAATTTTGCTCTCGATTTTTGTAATATTCCTGGCGTATGGAGTGTTTATATTTATTCGTTGCGTCTTCGGCGTTGCGAGTGGCGCGCTCGAAATCTGTTAGCTCCTTGTACTTCGCGTTATTTTCATCTCTTATCAATGCTATTCTTTGGCGCCAAAGCTTTAAGATAAATAAAAACTGTTCAAGAAGACCTAATACCTGTTCTGTGGTTACAGAAGAAGAGCCCACCAATACAATAGTCAGTATAATGTCCACGTTTTCTTCCTCATGTTCTAGTTTTGGCAATTTCTTTTGAAGAAATGTTTTCTCGGCAGAGGGACGCTGCTTCAACTGCAGTTGTGAAGGTAGATTGTCACCTGCAGAAATCGATGCTAAACGAGAAGCCATTGTCGCCCGTTTTTACGTACCTGTTACATTGTCGTTTTGGCATCGTTCAGTTGGTCGTCGCTTTTCAGATGCTCAAAATTTTATTCTTTGAATTTAGCAGTGCGTTTAAATTTATAGCATCCAATCAGAAGCTGACACGTCATGTCACAAGTGACATATTTCTTTATCGGATCATCTGAAATGACCGATTGCGCAATGTAAAACAAAAGACGTGTTGACAACAGGCAGGTACAAAAGTCGGACCGGATCAACTCGAACCGCCAGTCCGGGTCGGATCAACTCGGATCGACTCGGACCAACTCGGATCGAATAAAAAAATAAAAATAAAATAAAATAAAATTTGACTCGGATCAACTCGGAGCAATCAAAAAAATTAAATTTAATCAGCAAAACTGAAAGGTTAACCTATTTGGAGGGTAAAAAAGGCCAGATCATCCTTTTTTTCTCCGTGGCTTTCAGGCGCCATTTGTTTTACTGGTGCCAGTTCCTCTCGGATCATGTTATAAACTCATGGTTGTGGTTCGACAGTAAAGAAATGATAGTTTCAGTCGCCTAGAACGTATATATTTGCTTATTTATTAGACTACTGAATTATTTATGAGAAAAGCATCAAAAGTCTGGTCTGTTGATCGCATTTAGATAGTTACCGAAGAGTGTTTGTTTGTTTGTTCCTGTTTGTTTTTTTTTTCTGCAGGACTTCTGAAACTTAATTTTAATGATACACTAGTGAGCAGCACACATACATTTCCAGTGAAC